CAAGTGTCATAAGCGCTTCCAGCGAAGCTTCCTTGGTCTTGGCAATGACGGCAAAGATACACGCAGCAATGCCCGTCAGGTCGCCATGGCTGATCGTCCCGCGCCGCAGAAGCAACAGGGACACACTCAGTCCTACTCCATCGATCCACACTGGTACATGGACTCTGGGGCGACAGAGCATCTGACTAGCGAGATGGGGAAGCTTCACACTCGTGAACCCTATCATGGCTCCGACAAGATCCACACCGCCAATGGAGCAGGTATGCACATCTCTCATATTGGTCAAGCATCTCTTCTCACTAGACATGCCAATAGGAGTCTTCAGCTTCGCAATGTTCTTCGAGTTCCATCTGTGACCCGCAATCTTCTTTCAGTTCCTAAACTCACACGTGATAATAATGTGCTTTGTGAATTTCACCCTTTTGATCTTTTTATTAAGGATCGGGGCACGAGGGACATTCTTCTTAGTGGGCGGTTGTGCCAGGGCCTCTACCGTCTGGAGCATCCTGGCGTCGCCCGTGTTTTCAGTGGAGTTCGGGTCTCTCCGTCACAGTGGCATGCTCGTCTTGGTCACCCGGCCACACCTATTGTCCGTCATATTTTGCGTCGTCATGAGCTTCCTAGTTTGTCTAGTAATAAAGATGTAGCAGTGTGTGATGCTTGTCAGCAGGGGAAGAGTCATCAACTTCCTTTTTCGGAGTCCAGTCGTGAGGTGAAACATTCTTTAGAACTTGTGTTTTCAGATGTATGGGGTCCTGCTCAGACTTCTGTCAGTGGTCATAATTACTATATCAGTTTCGTTGATGCTTATAGTCGCTTTACCTGGCTTTACCTTATTAAACGCAAATCTGATGTGTTTGATATTTTTGTTCAGTTTCAAAAACATGTTGAACGTCTTCTCAAGCACAAAATTGTTCATGTCCAGTCGGACTGGGGGGGCGAGTATCGCAACCTCAACTCCTTCTTTCAGTCGCTTGGGATAGCTCATCGTTTAGCATGTCCACATACACATCAGCAGAATGGTTCAGTCGAACGTAAGCATCGTCATATTGTTGAAGCTGGTCTTACTCTTTTGGCCCATGCATCTGTTTCGTTTCGGTTTTGGAGTGATGCTTTCACCACTGCATGCTTTCTCATCAACCGTACTCCCACTCGTGTTTTAAACATGAAGACTCCCATTGAGGTTCTCCTTAATGAACAACCTGATTATACCTTTTTCAAGGTATTTGGGTGTGCTTGCTGGCCGCATCTTCGTCCATATAATAAGCGCAAGCTTGAGTTTCGTTCTAAGAAGTGTGTTTTTCTTGGATATAGCTCTCTTCATAAAGGTTACAAATGTCTTCATGTTCCCACTAATCGTGTCTATATATCTCGGGACGTCGTGTTTGATGAGCATGTTTTTCCCTTTGCCAAACTTCCTGTGTCCACTGTCGAACCACCATCTCTGCATTCATCCTCTGTTGCTTCTGACCAATTTGATGATGTTGCATACTCTCCTTTGCTGTTACCTAACCATGGTGCAGGAACCGGACGTGGGGCTCGTTTGGAGCTGTTGGAGGATTCACCATCATCATCGCCGCCTTCTGATGGGCACGTCGATTGCCCTATGTTGCATGGCATCGATTCGCGTGCCCATGCATGGTCACCCGAAGAGCCCGTCGCGCCGAGCATCTCCACTGCTCGGTCCGCCACGCCAGCGACCGCCGAGTCTCCAGCGGCTCGGCCCTCTTCGCCAGCGGCCGCCGAGTCTTCAGCGGCTCGGCCTGTCACGCCGTCTTCGCCCGCGGCTCGGCCTGTCACGCCGTCTTCGCCTGCAGCTCGGGTCCGCGACGCCGTCCTCACGTCGCCTTCATCCGCAGATCGGCCCGCGACACCGGCCGCGCCACGACCCACTATGCCGGGCTCGCCATCGGCCCGGTCTGGGATGCCGGAGTCGCCAGCTGCTTCGTCTGCTCTGCCGGTTTCGCCGGTGGGCCGGCCTTCTTCGCCGACTGAGTCCGAGGCTACCGTGCCTGGCTCCTCGTCACCGGCTGACTCGTCAACGTCGCCGTCCTCCAGCCCGTTGCAGGCTGCTCCGTCGACCTCGGTGGTTCCTGTGTCTCGACCACATACACGCAGTCGCAGTGGCATTTTCAAACCTAAGGAACGTACGGATGGTACGGTTGCTTGGTTGGCTGCTTGTTTGGCTGCTGCTGTTGCGGATCCATCTTCTGAGCCTCGCTCATATCAGGCTGCCCTGCGCATTCCACATTGGCGAGAGGCTATGGAGCAGGAGTTTCATGCTCTTCTTCGTAACAAGACATGGACTCTCGTTCCTCCACCACCACGGGTAAATGTTATTGACTCAAAATGGGTATTCAAAGTGAAGAAGCATTCGGATGGATCTATTGAGCGTTACAAAGCGCGACTTGTTGCTCGCGGTTTTCGGCAGCGTCATGGTCTTGACTATGAGGACACCTTCAGTCCTGTTGTCAAGCCTACCACTATTCGGCTTCTTCTCTCCATTGCTGTTTCTCGTGGTTGGTCACTTCGTCAACTTGATGTGCAGAATGCTTTTCTACATGGATTTTTGGAGGAAGAGGTTTATATGAAACAGCCGCCTGGTTTCTCTGATCCTGATCGTCCTGACTATATCTGTCGTCTTTCCAAAGCACTATATGGTTTGAAGCAAGCTCCTCGTGCCTGGCATGCCCGCCTTGCCTCTGCCCTTCGTGCTCATGGGTTTGTGCCGTCCACTGCTGACACTTCATTATTTCTTCTACAGAAGCCAGAAGTCACTATGTATCTTTTGGTATATGTCGATGATATTATCCTTGTCAGCTCTTCTCAGTATGCTGCTGATGCTCTTGTCTGCTCTCTTGGTGCTGATTTTGCGGTCAAAGATCTTGGGAAGCTTCACTACTTTTTTGGAGTTGAGGTCACTTCTCGTGCTACTGGTCTTGTCCTTACGCAGAAGAAGTACTCCTTGGAGTTGTTACAAAAAGCCGGCATGCTGAAGTGCAAACCGACCACCACACCCATGTCGTCTACCGACAAGATAACAGCTGTTGATGGTGAGCTTTTGTCTCCCGCGGATGCCACAGAGTACAGAAGCATTGTTGGTGGACTTCAGTACTTGACGATCACGAGACCAGATATCTCTTATGCTGTTAACAGGGTTTGTCAGTATCTTCAGGCTCCCAGAGATACTCATTGGGCTGCTGTTAAACGCATTCTTCGTTATGTTCAGTTCACCCTGACTTTTGGTATGCATATTCGGCCGACTTCCTCTCGGGTCCTTTCGGCCTTCTCTGATGCAGATTGGGCTGGTAGCCCAGATGACAGGCGATCCACGGGGGGTTATGCAGTATTCTTTGGCTCTAATTTGATCGCCTGGAGTGCTCGGAAACAGGCTACTGTGTCACGTAGCAGTACTGAAGCTGAGTACAAGGCTGTGGCTAATGCTACTGCAGAGATTATTTGGGTGCAGTCTTTGCTTCAGGAGTTGGGTTTGTCTCAACCACAGCCTCCTATTCTTTGGTGTGATAACATCGGTGCTACATACCTTTCTGCAAATCCAGTATTTCATGCCCGAACGAAACACATTGAAGTTGACTATCACTTTGTACGGGAACGTGTATCACAGAAGCAACTTCAGATCAAGTTTATCTCGTCTAAGGATCAACTTGCAGATATCTTCACTAAGCCTTTACCACTGTCACAGTTTGAGACTTGTAGGCGCAATCTTACCATTCTCAGTTCTTTAGAAAGTGGCTAAGATTGAGGGAGGGTGTTAGACTATGTATAACTTCTGTACCTATGTACGTATTGTAACACAACCATTATATATAATGAGATAAGCCACCCCTAAAGGGTTGTGCTGGTTCCCAAAACTTATTTTACAATGACGATTCCAAGCTGCCATGCTAGCCCACGTGATGTCAGTCAGTCACGAGATCCCCGGGCGACTCGTGCGCACCACTACTACGGTTACACTTGCACGACCAGGCGTCATCAATCAATTCAATTATTAGCACTCGTACGCGAGCACGCAAGGCAACAGGGCGATCCGATCGACCAAAGAAAAGAAATCACGTACTGTACGCCGATGATGATGGAGCGATCGGCGGCGAAATGAACGACTATGAAAACTCTGGGCTTCATGATCCGCACGATTGAATGTTTTACTGCCCTGCCTGCAGCTGCGCCGTCCTGATCTGATTCCTGGTAAAGAAACACGAAAGAAGGGGCGTCGGGTCGACCTTGACAGGACCGATCAACAAACCAACCATGCGTTTATGCTCGGGGATCTGCCCCCGGCGTCGGTCAAACTGATGAGATATGATTCAGAGGGTTCGGGGCTGACGCGTACGCTGTGGAGTTAGAATGCAGTGACCCGCCGGAGGAGTAAAGAATCGTCATCTTGAGTGCTTTCGGAGCTTCCATCTTTCGCCCCGCACGCCACCACCTCCTTCCTGTAACAAAAAGCAACGCCGTTGATAATTATAGTAGTATGTTCATTGAATAAAAAAAGGGGGAAAGAAAGCAAGAAGCGCAAAGGCTCTCCTCCTGGATCTTGAATTCTTGATAAGTTAAAGAAATGGTAGTAGGTCTAGCATCTAGATCCTCTCAGCTCCGGAAACAAATAGCTCTTCAGTCATACTCCTACAACTGTAGAAGAAGAAGAAGAAGAAGAAGAAGAGAGAGGAAGTTGAGAAGGGAAAACAATTGCACCGAGCAACGAAGGCTCCCTCCTTTTACAGCGCCTGTCTCTTCTCTCCTTCTATGACCCAATCCCCAACTCGACCCCCGTTTCTTTCCATTCTCGGCAACGCACCCCACCACCACCAGACCAGAGTAGGCACAGTAGACAGCAGCGACAGTATAAAATACTCTCCTCACCCTCCTCCTAGCGAGCGAGCAAGCGCGGCAACAGGCAACAAAAGCAGAGGAGAAGCCAGATCCGAAGCCGCCGCCGCCACCGCCTCCGTCGAGCCCGGACAAGAACAGCAATCCCGCCAATGGACATGGAGCTCGACGCCGCTCGCCACGGGTTCGCCAAGATGGGCTTCGGGTTCGTCGGCCTCCCCTCTGTCCGCTACTTGTCTGTACTAACCAACTAGTACCCTTGGCTGACGGGGAGACTGCTTCTTCGTCTTCGTCGTGTGTGCGCGCAGGTGCAAGCACTACAGGAGGCGGTGCAGGATCCGGGCGCCCTGCTGCAACGACGTCTTCCACTGCCGCCATTGCCACAACGACTCCACGGTCTCTGCCCTGCTCTGCTCTGCCTCTCTTCTCTTTGCTCTCTCCTCTGGTCTGGTTGGGTTGGTGGTCCTCACAATTCTTTCGTTCTTTGGATAATCTCTGCCTTTTCATCTGCATCTTCTTCTTCTTGCTTGGATTGGGCTTAGAAAGACGGGCACGAGCTCGACCGCCACGCAGTCGAATCGGTGCGCACTTCTCTCACTGCTTCCTCCTCTTCATTTCTTATACTCCCATCTTGTTTCTTCACTTCACCTTCTTCAACTTGATTTCTCGCTAACAAAACAACATTTCCTCTCCTCCGTAGGTCATATGTCTCGTCTGTGACACCGAGCAGCCGGTTAGCATCTGATGGCGATTCCCTCTCTAGTTTCTTCTTTCTTGTGCTGCTACTAGTTTCAGAGTTGAGTTTGGGTATAACAGATTGATTGGTTGGTGATCGTCAGGTGGCGCAAGTGTGCAGCAACTGCGGCGTGTGCATGGGGGAGTACTTCTGCCGGGCGTGCAAATTCTTCGACGACGATGTGAGAATGAGATCCATCGTTCCTGTCCCTGTCCCTGTCCCTGTGCCCGATTTAGATTTGGTGGTGATTGGGTTGTTGTTGATGGGATCTTGCTGCTGCTGTGCAGGTTGACAAGGAGCAATACCACTGCAAAGACTGCGGCATCTGCAGGTAGGTACTCCTATCATATCCTCACAACTGATGCTTAATCGGGAGACTGAAAGCATACAAAACCAGGCCAAATTATGCAAGATTATACACAAAATTCACAAATGAGTTTCCACTTCCATTCAGTTCTACTTTTGACACATCGCCCTGAAAGTTCAAGTTGCCGAGCTGACTAACTGAAACTGTGACACATGCATATCTATCTTCCAACAGAGTTGGAGGCAAGGACAACTTCTTCCACTGCCACAAGTGCGGTAAGCATTCAACATTCATGATCCTTTCATGACACAGTCCTAATTTCAACGATTCCAACTGTATATGTATCTCAATTCGTCGGGTGCCGCCGCCGCAGGATCGTGCTACTCGGTGACCCTCCGGGACAAGCATGTCTGCATCGAGGACTCGATGAAGAACAACTGCCCGATCTGCTACGAGTACCTGTTCGACTCCCTGAGGGAGGCGTCGGTGCTGAGATGCGGCCACACCATGCACTTGCAGTGCTTCCACGACATGCTCAAGCACGACAAGTAATCGCCCATGCGGCCATGCCCCCTGCCCACACATCCCATCCCTTTCGTGTGATCTTGTTCTTCTTGCTTGGATAGATAACGCTATCCTCGACGTGTTGCAGGTTCACTTGCCCCATGTGCTCCGTGTCCATCTTTGACATGGAAAAATTCTTGAGGGCCTTAGATGCCGAGGTGAGTATTTTCTCAGTAAGATCCACAGCATCGGCATGATCTCATCTTGGGTTCCTTTTCGTGTGAATTTTCTCTTCGTGTTCTTGGCCCCGGCCTGAGATTTTTTTTGTATCTTTTTTTGTCAGATTGAGGCGAGTTTCTTACACATGGGAAAGGTCAGTGGCAAATTTGCAACTGACCCAGATTCATTTACTAAACTCTATAAATCCGATGAGACCCGGTTATATAAATCTGATGGTTTTCTGATGCCATTACTCCCGGCATGTGTTTGTGGGTGGGTGCAGGGATGGATCGTGTGCAACGACTGCTGGGACACGACCCGAGTGTATCCGGGCATGGCGGGACAGAGAAAGTGTTGCCATTGCCAGTCCTACAACACCTGCAGGGTTGCTCCATCGGTATTGCCGGCCTAGTACCCACTTCGGTGGCCACTACGATTATTTAGTACTAGCTGCGATTGATGTATTATTTCCAGTTCAACATGAACTGTGGAGACTGCAGAAGCATTATTATATACGGTACCAATTTATATGTACGTACGGTGCCAATTTGCGAGAAAGAAAGATGGATGAAAAAACGCCCTCTCGTTGCAGTTTCTAGGGGAATTTGATTGATGATATATAAGAAAGATGTTGGGTTATTGGTCAAAGTTGGTCATCTTTTGAGAAAAGATCCCATGGAAACTGGTTTGTGAAAAATGTTTGGTTTCATATCACACATCCGTCCCTATGCATGAATGTATTATACCTTGTAAATATTGATGTGAACGTAAAGCTTCTTATAATAGTTTGTCCTTCCCGTCATAAATCTTCAAGAATTATGAGCCAAAAGAACCTATAATGGGTTGTTTTTAGTTGCAAAGAGTTATGTATACTGCACACATAGCTCACAATTATGAAAAAATGAACCAAGGATAAGAGAAAGAGTGGGGAAAAAAAAGGAAAGCTTGTTCTAAAATGGTCGGGCTGGAGAAAGGCTATTATGGAATAACATGGAAATCATCACATCCTTCTCAAAAGACTTCCGCAATATCACTACGAGATGCAAAACCTGGAGGTTCTAGACATTTGGTATACAGGGAAAAAAAAATCCTTACTTGTCAAAGATAATGAAAACGACGAGTCTCGCACTTTAGCGTACCAACTACCATGACAGCATATACTACATGGATGAGGGTAGAATCCCCCTTATGGTTCATCAAATTTGTACTTAGCTAGTTAGAAAATGATAATTCACTAAGGAAGATGAATAAACATCACTGTTTCTTGCTTGAGAATTTGGTTTGTTGGTATCAAAGTGTTTGTCTCAACCATGAATAACAAAATATCCACTCTGAAGTAATAGGCTGTTTCCCCGCAAAAAAAGAGAGAGTAATAGGCTGTTGTTCGAACTCATGATTTGTAAGTATCTTAATACTTCCTTTTGCACTGTATGGCTAATCTAAAAGGTTCATACCATACTAACCATCTCAACATCCACGTATACTTTGCAAACAGAAGTCTCCTGGTATCTTTTTTCTCTTGATGGTATGGGTTGCACACCTTAAAGTCTGCAACATATTCTAGCATTAGAAATGGATGACTCTGAACTAAGCATCCAGGCAACCTGTAGGTGAAGATAGATTCTACTGACAGGTAATTAAGCATAATGGAATTAAAAATGACAGGTAATTGGGTTACCTAACTAAGTAGCATATGATCCAATCAGTGGGCGAAGCAAACCCTTAATTACACTGTTCAGAAAATACAGGGCGGGTTAAAGGTGCACCAATATAAGAACTGAAAGTCAAATAGTAATTGTAACCCTAATGATACCAGAAGAACAATCCTAATACCAGAAGAACAATCCTACAAAAGAGACTTGTATTTGATTATGGCAATATGGCTGAAGATTTTAAGGTAAAAAAAATCTCTAAAATGAACAATACAGAATCTCTTAGGGAAATAGAGACTTTAGTATGATCATGAGGTCGAGCAGTGCTGGCGAATCATTCCATCGTATATCAAGAGGACACTGTCAAATTTGAACAAAACTGGAAAGACAAGGAACAACTCGAAACAAAATACTTTGTGTTTGGTGCTGAACAATGTTCTGTTGTTTCCTGAGTATCATACTCCTTGGCAATAAATCAAGAAATATCGTTTGCTGCTCACTGCTTAACTTGTTAGTCTGTCACATGGTTTCTAAATTTGTTTTTCTTGTTATACAAGGACGCAACAAAAAGGTTGTTTCTTCTTCTTCCTCGTCTGATTTCAGCCCCATCTGGTCAGCGAGCAGCCCAAGCACGTCCCATATCTCAAAGCGCCGCGGATGCGCCTGGTCGTCAGCGACAAAAGAGCTTAGCTCGCCGTCGACCTCCACCGCGCTATACGCCGGGACCTTCTTGAGCCCCCGGCTGCCGATCAGCTTTCGCACCCTCCGCGCGTCATCCTTGCGGTTGGCATCGAGATAAATGTTGGACAGCTGGACGTACACGCCCTCGTCGGCGCCAACACCTAGCTTCTCGAGCTCCTTGGCTGCCACCTCTGCCAACTCGACGTTGCCGTACATCCGGCAGCCTGCTAGGAGAGACCCCCACACGGATGCGAGCGGGGTCATCGGCATTGTCCCGATTAGCCCTACCGCGTCCTCCAGACGCCCGACCCGGCACAGCATGTCGACAGTGCAGCTGTAGTGCTCGTGCCCCGGGGTGACGCCGTACCGCCGGCGCATCTCCTTGAGAAGTCTGAGCCCGTCTTCAACCTTTCCGGCGTGTGCGCAGGCGGACAGCGCCCCGAGCACTGCCACGCCATCCGGGCGCACCCCGTCCTCGCCTGCCATCCTCTCCAAGCAGGCCACTGCCTCCCTCGCCATGCCATGCACCGCGAACGCACCGACCATGGTACCCCAGACGTACTCATTCCGCTCCGGCATTCCCTCGAACACCTTGACCGCCTTCTGTAGGCAGCCGCACTTGGCATACATGCTCACCAGTGCCGACCCGACGAACGCGTCCGCCAGCAGCCCTGGCGCGTTGCTCTCCACGTACCGGTGCACCCACTCCCCGCACTCCAGCGCGCCGGACTGGGCGCACGCCGCGACCGCCGTCGTGAGCACAACGGCGTCCGGCGCCACCCCGTCCGCGAACATGGCCCTGAACAGCGCCAGCCCCTCGGCGGCCATCCCGGCGCGCGCGTACGCCCCGATGACCAGGTCGTAGTGGATGGCCTCCCGCCTCGGCAACTCGTCGAACACCCTCCGCGCGTCGTCCGGGCGGGCCGCGTGGAGCTGGAGCAGCGCGGTGGTGACGTAGTGGTCGGAGGGGAAGAGGGCGTTCTTGACGAGGAGCGCGTGGAGCTGCGGGCCGGGGGGCGGGGCGACGTGGGCCGCGGCGGCGGCGGAGAGGGCGAAGGGGAAGGAGAGGTGGTCGGGGCCGGGGAGCGGCGAGGCGGGGGAGAGCATGAGGAGGAGGAGGCGGAGGGCGAGGAGCGGGTGGGCCTGGGAGGAGGCGCCGCGGGCGAGGACGCGGAGGAGCGAGTTGAGCGCGACGAGGGAGAGCTCCGGGTGGCGCGGGGAGAGGCCGGCGGTGGTGAGGATGGCCTGGACGGGGAGGAGCGGCGCCGCCGGCGAGGCGGCGGACGGGCGGAAGCGGGAGGAGAGGAGCGAGTGGCAGAAGGCGAAGGTTGCCTTGGGGATGTACGGGCGCATGCTGGAGGAAGCAGTCGGCGGGAATGCCAGAGACTTCTCTGTTCTTCAAGAGGGCCGAGTTGCTGGCCCTGTACTCCCTCTCTGTCTTTGAAAAAGAGAACCTTGTAAATTTTGGTTTAAGTCAAAACGGTGCAAAGTTTAATTAGAGCATCTACAGCCGAACGTCCCAAATCTGCTTAAAACGCACGGGCGGACGAGTGATCGGGCGCGAAAATTTGATCCAGGCGGACGCCTCAAACGAGCATCAAACGTCCAGGATGATCAGCACCCCTCATACCCAGCCCAAAATATGGGGCGGATATGAGGCGCCTGGGAGCGTCCACTACATCGGACCCGGACAACACTGGCCAACCCGACCCCACATATATTCCTCCCTATCCACTTGCCGGACCAAATCCTAACCACTTCACTTCACTCCCCCACACTCCACTCTGCCACTCAAGCTCCTGCCCGGCAAGCTCTGGCCTTTTCCAACATGACGGGCAGCGGATTCAGATCCCCCACCTCCAGATCCGTCGACTCCGAACTCATCCCACGCGGCCCCGAGGAGGAGATGGCTGTTCGGCTTGCGCTCAGCCGCTCCCGGGAAAAGGCCCGTGTGAGGCAACGCTCGGCCTCCTTCCATTGGAAATCCATTGCGTCCGTCCAAATGGTCCATGGATCCGACACTAAGTGTGTCGTAGCTGCCTCACCGGAGGCTGTGCGGTCCGACTGGCGTCCGAACGTAGTGGAGGACGCGCAACCCCTCCATTGGCGCTCCGAGGCCATGGACGTACCATGGGCGTCCATCGACTCAAACATGGCACCGCGTGTCCTCTGTGCGAGGCAGCGGGTGAGGGAGATGGCGACAACCCTCGCGGCAGTGGACGTTGGCGAGACGGAGTCGCATTTTCCGGCGCCCCATATGGTACACCAGTCCAGGCACCGCAACCGCGTCGTGGTGGATGTCTCCGGCCCGTCCCAAGACGGATCCATCATCGATCTGAAGTCCACCGGCACCATTCGGGTTCCGGGCTCCAACGAGGAAGAGTAGGACATGTGAGACGGCGGCGACCTGAGTCCCGTGAGCTGGCTCGTGTCCCATGCCCTACTCTACCTTTCCGGCGACCAGACCAACACTTTGGGAAGCTCAGCCGACCGCCGGACATGGGCACGACGAACTGGACCGCTTAAAGATTGGTTTATGTTACATGTAATAATATGGATTTGAGGTTTCTAATTTGAGATGTCCGGATGTAGAATCAAATATTTGAGGCGTCACCGATCAATGTCCGCGGACGCGTTGATGAGTCGAATTTGCCAAGTCCGGTTGTACATGCTCTTAAACTTCTGATGAAAATCATGAACAATTATATAGAAAAACAGACATTATATATAAATATATTTTGTTATGTATCTAATGACATTAATTTGGTGTTGTAGTTTTTGATATTTTTTCTATAAACTTGATCAAATTTGACACCGTTTGAATTCTGACAAAATTTATAAGGCTTCTTTTTCAGAGACATGTGTAGTGGTAAACATGACCGTTGATAGTCACGTGTCTTCATTTTTTAGTGTCAATTGATATACCCCCTCCGTTTTTGCTCTGCATGTCAGATCTCGGTAGGATAAATAGTCGACCCACAATTGCTTTATTAATATGTACTAGCACATATGTCCGTACGTTGCAACAGGAAGAGACATTTCTTTGCGAGAAGCAACGGGAGAGATAATTGATGTGCCC